TGTTGTCAGTCAGTTTTGGCAACACATAAAGACAGACACACAGACAGACAAACATCGAATCATCCACTCAATCTTGTAATCACCACCACAAGCTTCGAGTTGGCCAAACGAGTTTCCCTACAGAAATTTCCTTTTCACAGTCAGCCAGTCAGTCGGTTGTTTGTGTCAGCCACAGATTGTCAGTCAGAGCTCCACTCCACTTCACCCACACTACCTAAAAACAACAGCCGAAATGTCCTCCTCTAGTTCAAGTTGCTGCTCCAAGTCGAAGCTGGCCAAAGCATCTGGCCCCGGGTACAGCAGCCCGGCCGCCGCCCTGGCCAGTGGCCCACGCGAGACGGTCCTCTTCGTGACCTGTGTCCGTCCTCATCAACGGGCCCCCGACTACCTAGCCACCGTGGACGTCGACCCCGGCTCGCCCACGTACGGCACGGTGATCGGCCGGACGGAGATGACCGCCATCGGCGACGAGGTGCACCACTCGGTAAGTGCTTAAACTCGAACTGAAACTGAGAACAAAAATTGAGTTTTAAGTAAAATAAAACAATTCGACTGGTCGGACTTTAAAACACTTTCCTTTCTTCCCTGACAGGGCTGGAACACCTGCAGCAGCTGCCACTCTGACGGCAGCAAGTGCCGCAACCGCCTCATCCTTCCCTGTCTCAACAGCGACCGTGTCTACGTGGTGGCCATTGATAAGGACATTGATAAGGATGATAAGGATAAAGGTTATCGCACCAGTCTGGCGCAGGTCATCGAGCCGGAGGCGCTGCACCGCCTGGGCGTCTCCGCCCCGCACACCACCCACTGCCTGCCCAGCGGCCAGCTGATGATCAGCTGTCTGGGAGATGAGTCCGGAGCGAACAAGGGCACCTTCCTCCTCATCGACCCGCCCAACAGCTCGGTACCAAACTTTATTCCCACTAAACTGTGGAACCAGGAGGCAGTTCCCTTCGGCTACGATTACTGGTACCAGCCACGCCACGACGTGATGGTCAGCACCGAGTGGGGCGCTCCACGCGCCTTCAAGCAGGGCTTCAGCCTGGAGCACCTGCAGGCGGGGCAGTACGGCTCCTCCCTCCACTTTTGGCAGTGGTCCACGGGGCGGCGCCTGCAGTCGCTCGACCTGGCCACCCTCGTCCCGGGCACGTGCATGCCCCTCGAGGTGCGCTTCCTCCACGAGCCGGCCGCGGCGGAGGGCTACGTCGGCTGCGCCCTCAGCGGAAACGTTTTCCGCTTTTTTAAAGATGGAAACTCCTGGACCGCCGAAGAGGTGATCAAGATCGAGGGCCGGCCGGTGAGCGGCTGGTCGCTAGCCCCCACCCTGCCCGCCCTCATCACCGACATTCTCCTCTCGCTGGACGACCGCTTTCTCTACCTCTCGGCGTGGGCCTTCGGCGAGGTCCGCCAGTACGACATTTCCGCTACTTCAAAACCTCAATTAACTAGTGTTGTTCGTCTGGGCGGCATTCCCGCCACCAATCCCAGTGTGAAGGTTTTGGAGGAAAAAGAAGAACTTCATCCTGATCAAATCTTCACCGAAGTAAAGGGAATCAAGCTGCAGGCGGGCGCGCAGATGCTCCAGCTTAGCCTCGACGGCGCCCGCCTCTACGTGACCAACTCGCTGCACAGCGCCTGGGACCGCCAGTTCTACCCGGGCGTAGTGGACCAGGGCTCGCAGCTGCTCAAGATTGATGTGGACACCAAAGGAGGGAAGGGGAAGATGACACTGGACCAGGACTTTGTGGTCGACTTTGGCCAGGGGGAGCCGATGGGGCCGGCACTGGCCCACGAGATGCGCTACCCCGGCGGTGACTGTACCTCTGATATTTGGATTTAAATTAGGGAGTTTACGCTCTTTTTGTTGTTGTTGTTTATTACTGGACTTCTGCCACTCAACATTGAACATGGGGGAGAATGCATGCAAGGTGGATTTAAATCAAACTGAAAATGGAGAAAAAATGTCATTGAGAATGCTTTCAGTGTCAATGTGTGTTTTCAAGTAAAACTTACCTATTTACATAAAGGGAGAAAGGGGATCTGCGATGATGGTAATGGTGATGGTAATGATGAGATGGTGATGGTAGTAATGATGATGGTGGTGATGTGCTCTTCAGTCCTTTTTCTCCCCCTTTCGACTTTTGTCCTTCGAACTGCGACGGCTGGACTTTTTCGAAGAAGAGGAGCTCTCACCGCCGCCACCGCCGCCTGAAGACTTGTGCCGCGAGGAGTGCTTCCGGTCGTCGTCGTGCTTCGACTTTTTTGCCGACGACGACGACGACTCCGACTTGTCCTTCTCCTTTTCCGCCTTTAGCTCCGATCGGGACCGCTTTTCACCTCCCCGCTCCGAGGTCTTCTCCTTCTCCCGGTGATCTTTGTCCTTGTCCTTCTCCGAGCGAGACTTCTTCGGCTCCTTGTCCTTTTCCTTCTCCTTGTCTCTCGTTTCGCGGTCTCGCTCCTTGTCCTTGTCCTTTTCTCGCTCCTTTTCGCGCTCCTTTTCTCCTCGCTCCTTTTCTCGTTGACTTTCACGTTCGCGTTCGCGTTCTCGCTCCTTTTCCTTTTCCCTTTCGCGTTCCTTTTCCTTTTCCTGCTTGTCGGCCTTTTCTCGTTTCTCGCTTTTCTCGGCCTCCTGCTGTCGGGTGGACTCCTTGCTCGAGTGTCGGTGGTGGTCAGAAGATTTTTGGTGATCAGCTGAGGCTGAAGAGGAGGACGTCGTCTTGCCGGCGGTTCCTCCCTGTTCGTAGCTGTCACTGGTGGTGCTGCGGTGTCGGTAGCTGCCCCCACCTTCACTTCGACCACTGCTGGTGCCCCTTCGTCCGCCGTCTCGGGAGGAGCCGCGATGCTCGCCACCACCGTAGCTGGAGCTGTCACGGTCGCGTGAATCTCGATCGCGGTCTCGGTCTCGGTCTCGATCCCGACCACCACCACGGTCTCTCTCCGAGTAGTGGTCCGATGATCCAATGCGATCCCCATGCCGGTCCCCGTGGTCGTGACGGTCCCCTCCATGATCATGGCGGTCATGGTCTCCGTGGTGGTAGTGCTGATCATGCCGAGAGCCGCCGCCCCTCCGGCCGCTCGAGTCGTAGTCGTCGTTGCTGTAGAGGGACATCGGCGGCGGTCGTCCGCCACCTCCGCCCATGCCGTGCAGCTCGGGAATGTTCGGGTGGGGGAGAATGCCGCCCCCGTGGGGCGGTGGAAAGCGCAGCGGCTGCCCATGCCCGTGGCCCAGGGCGTTGAAGGCGTCCGAGAGGAAGGGCAACGGCTGGCCGTTGGAGCCCAGCGGCGGCGGGAGGATGCCCATCGAGGAGGGCGGCGGCCGCAGCCCGTGCGGAAAGGCATCCGGCGGGAGGAAGGGCGGCGGAAAGGGCAGCGGGGGCGGTGGGCCCCCTCCGCCGCCGCCTCCACCGCGCTGCCCAATCACCGAGATGAAGTTGTTGTTGTTGTTGCTATTGTTGTTGTTGTGGCTGTTCTCCTTGAGGACGGCGGCAAGCGAGGGCCCCAGGAGGCCGCCGCCGTGTGGTGGCAGCAGCGACAGCTGTGGCCCGTCTCCTCCTCGCGACCCCGGCGGCGGCGTGTCCCGGGCAAGGGCCGCATTCATCGGCGTCAGCAGTATCGGCGGCGGGCCTAGGTGACTTCCGCCAGGACCACCACCACCACCACCGCCGCCGATGACGTCGATCGCCCCCGAGGGCTTCCTGCCCGGCGGCGGCCCGGCCGGCCTCTTGTTCGTGTTGATCACAATCGACCCGGAGCTGTTGTACTTGCTGTTCTCATTCACCGAGGAGTGCCCAGCTCCAGCTCCTCCTATTCCTCCCGGGCCGATGCCCAGCGAGAGCAACTTGTCGGCGGTGAGGAGCTCGCCCACGCCGCCGCCCCCACCCGGGCCACCTCCCGCGCCCGTGGACAGCATCACCAGACTGCCGTCGGGCAGCGTCTTCAGCGGCATCGAGGAGAGGCTGAGCACGGCGTTGATGTCAAAGGCGCCCGAGGCGCTGAGGGCGCGAATCTTCTTCTGCCGCTCGCAGTACACCTTCCAGCTGTCCTCGTTGAAGCCGTAGTTGAAGTAGTCGGTGATGTCGGCGCCCGGCTTCCGCCAGGGCTTGTCCTCCAGCGTGTCCAGGTTCAGGTCGAAGATGGGCTCGTCCTTGTAGTCCCCGATCGCGTCCATGTCCAGCGACGACTTGGTCTTCGAGGCGAGCGACTGCCCCGCCGAGGCGCCGATCTGCCGCCCGCCCTTGCTCAGGTTCAGATTGAGGTTCTTCGCCTCGACGCCGCTGGCGACGTTCGCCAGCGAGGCCTTGCTGAAGTCGCCCACGGTGATCTGAATGTCATCGTCGTCGTCGTCCTCTTCGTCCTCCAGGTCCTCGTCGTCGGCGTAGCCTCCGTCGCCATTGGTCTGTTCAGCTGTGGCCGTTGCAGTGGTGGTGGCTTCTTCGTTGTCCATCAGCGGCATCAGCCCATCATCGTTGAGCTGTTCAACTGCTGCTGCTGGTGGTGCTTCATTGTTTGCCGGTCCCAGGTCCATCGGCGGAAGTGGCGCACTCTCCTCGTCCTGCTGCATCAGCACGTCCTGAATTGCTTCAGCCTCATCCTTGGCCTCATCGCCAACGCCGAGAAT